TCATCATGGATGTCATGTGGATATCATATACCCCTAAGATAATGGGACAAAAAGAGACTTCAGTTCTGTAGTATTTGTTTTTCAAGAACCCACAACTCCAGTCTAGTTATGAGTAAAATAATAGGCAAAGCCAGATTGGGGGATAGTCTATAGGATACCTGGCCAGTATTCCTCAAGACCATTATGGGGAGAAAAAAAAAAAAAAAAAGACTGAGAACTTGAGAAACAGATCAAAGGAGGCTGGGAAGATATGCCATGTCTACCCAATCCAAGGTGATATCCTGGACTGGGTCCTAGAATAGAAAGTCTAGAGTTTAGTTAAGAATAATGAAGCAAATATGAGTTTCTTTGACAAAGGTACCATGGTAATATACAATGTTCAACAATAGGGAACATAATAGGGTAAAGGGTGTACAGGAACTCCCAGTAGTATCTTCATAACTTGTTTAGAAATCTAAAATTATTCCAAAATAAGTTGTTGTTGTTTTTTTTTTTAATCAGTGCTGGATACCAGATGATACACATATGAAACTGTCTTGGGACTTAAAGAAAGAAGTACACAGGGCACCTGAGTGGCTCGGGTGAGCATCCAACTCTTGATTTCAGCTCAGGTCATGATCCCGGGTGGTGGGATTGAGCCCTGCACTGGGCTCTGCACTGAGCATGGAGCCTGATTAAGATTCTCTCTCTCTTCCTCTCTCTCTTTCATTCTCTAAGATAAAAAAAAAATTTTTTTTAATGAAGTATGCAGATATCTGGCCAGTGTTTATGGGCAGTGTTTACACATCTCATATGTTTCTACATCCAGCCATCAGAGCACTCTTGTACTGGCAGACACAATAAATGTAAATCAAATGATTAATTGTATTCTCTTGCCATAATCTTTCTGTGATATCTATCGGTGTTTTCAATGCTGTTTTTGAAAGTGAGAAAGTGGGTCGGAAGCACGTGCACATTAAAGTGGGAGCCACGTGTGGAAGAGGTCAGCTGGCCTCCCGACCTGCAGACCGAAGGGCAGCCAGCGGGCCTGGAGCGTGTCCTGAGCAACAGCAACCACAACAACCATAACCACCATTTTGGGAAAGCATGGTAGCGTGCCATCCTTTGCACCACAGTTTCACCCGCAAGATTACACTTCACTCTCTCATTCCTGCAGCAATTCTATTCCCGTTTTGGAGATGAGAGTTAGGATCATCAGAGAGATGAACTACATGGTCAAGGTTGCAACTGCAATTCCAACACAGATATTTCTGACCCTTCCACTAAATCGGTAAACCAAAGACAAGGGAATTTCATAAAAACAACTGTCTAAGCTACGATCCTAGTATCATTAACGTAAGCCAGAGAATAATATACTGAGATATTATATATTTATTGTATATACGCATGAACATCCATATAATTTCCATTACACTGAAAAAATGTAAAGGGGTTATGAACACTATACCTGATATACAGCAAATGTTAGTCCTCTCCTACCTTAATAAGCTACACCTATTTTCAATAAATTCCAACCTTGTTTTTGCTTCTGATTTAGGGCCTAGACTTGTATGAATTATCAGGGCAATTCAAAAGGGCAGAGAAGCTAATGCCAGAAGTCAAGTTTAGCCAGTTTACATGAGATAAGAGTTAAATCTCGGCCAGTATCAAGTTATTCTAAAAAAAAAAAAAAAAAGAAATGTATGTCGCATCAGTGAAACTCCTTTGGAGTTATAAAAGATTTTCAAAAACTCATCATCCTTTTCCTAGACTATATGATTACATGCTTTATTAAGGACTCATTTAATAGATTTGATTCAGATCATGGGAGTAAGTGTCAGCTATCTTTATGGATTTCATTAAGAGTTTTTTCTAACATGACCACTTTATGTTCTACCTTTTAAGCTGAATAGACTTTCCTCTTGGACATCATAGCCACTATCTTGATGGTTAATAATTCATAAATCCAGTAATGAGATTCTAATTACTTTTACAGAAGTCTGAAATTTACCAGCAAGAGCCAAGGAAGGGACTGGCCTAGACCAACCCTCTTTGTGCATTATTTTAGGGGGAATGGCCCCCAGGCGAGTTGGAGCTAAATAGAAGGGGGATGGCAAATCTTTGAAATAATGTAGTCATCTTTCTCTATGCTAAAATAAGCAAGGTAATTAAAAGAGCTGCCATCTGTAATGACCAAGGAAACCTGCCTTACGGACGGAAGTGGGGCTTTGTTAGACAACAAACATTGGAGTTGTAATCTAATACAAAAAACAATCCAGACACATGAGCAAGATCTATTAAACAGTGATGGCAAACAGCCACTTGCTGCCTGGATGAATCACTCAGTGTTATCATCAAGAAAGAGAACTAATTTTTTAAACCTGGTAATGCAGTACTGCCTTAGTTTTAGGCTTTGTATGTTGACAATAAATAAATGGCCTAAGAGGATTCGCTCCCTTTGGGATGCAGGTCAGAGTATTGTCCTCAAATCCCTTTTATATATGTTTTCTATATATTTTATTTAATTAATGCTTCTGAAATAACAGATTTATTTTGGCATTGTGGATCACATATGGACTTGAACTGGTTTTTGTCTTTATGCTCAATGTGAGCTCTGCCAGCCTTCCACTGAATCTGTAGTTGGTTACGAGTTGGAATCAGACAAGAGAGTGAGGGTAAGAATCAAGTATTTAACCCCAAAGGACAAACTTCCCTGAGCAACCACATTTTAGATGCATCACAACTACATATTCAATGTGGGGTGCCTGAGTTGGCCATCTTTACTTCTAATTAATATATTGTTTCCTTCAAACTCAAATATTTAGAATTAGGTAACTCTCTGATTCCTTCTTGGAATGTTTTTGTGTCCTTCTGGGACCCAAAGACACCTGAATTTATTGGATTTATACTTATACCAAGTTACCTCCCCAGTTTGAGATAAGAAGTTTCCTCACAGAGAAGTTTTATCACATAAGATATGATGAGTAAAGCACTTGCCAAGAAATGTCATCTTCTTGTAAAAACTCAAATCACAATTACCTCTGGCAATGGTGGACAGATAATGCTACAGAAAAGATAGAACAGATAACTGAAATCCACAGATAAGCCTCAAATCTTATTTCAGCCCCAAATTTCAAATGTTTCCCTACTCCCAACTGACTTTCTTCAGAGTTGATGGCAAACTGAAAAACATTACTGACTTGAGATCCATTATTATGTTTAATTTTTCAAAAATTATAAGCTATGTGTCTATAAGCGTGAAACGAGAAAGAACATAAAACACTCCTCTTTGTAATTAGCAGCCTCCAAAAGTCAGTTTAACTTACACTGTGAGCTACACCTCCCAAGGCAAACATACATGCCCATCATGTTACGAGTTACATTAGATTTGTGCTGGTCTGTTATTTATAATCTCATTTATACTGGAAAATATAACCTGCCATTTATAGAAGGCAGAAATGCAAAAGTTCAGGGAATTGCTCCTTCTCCACTTCAAACGTTCCTATCATGGAGCACCTGGTGGCTCAGTCGGTCAGTTAAGCGTCCGACTTCGGCGTAGGTCATGATCTCACAGTTAGTGAGGCCGAGCCCTATGTCGGGCTCTCTGCTGTCAGCACAGAGCCTGCTTCGGATCCTCTGTCTCCCTCTCTCTGCCCCTCCCTCCCTTACTCTATCTCAAAAATAAACAAACATTTAAAAAAAAAAAAACTTTCCCATCCAAGGAAATGAAAGTGAGGGACAGAGGTTGGGGGCAAGGCTGAGGAGAAGCTAGAAGGTACTGATGTTTAATGAAAAGAACCAGAAGGGTTAAGGAAGTGAACGTGGTGGAGAGAATTGAGAAAGGAGAAATTTCACACAGAATTCTCTGGGAGGCTCAGTGATTGGATGGACTACCAGGAAAATGGATCCTCACTCAATGCCACTTCCAGATTGGAACGTCCCTGCACCCACCCCTTAAACTGACCCTAGATTTCAAGATTTCCATCCACTAAACCCCACTCCAGGATCACAGGTTCAGAAATCAGAGCCTGGAAGACATTATCCCAGGAATGTGTCCCTACTCTATTCCTGCCAGTGTTAGCTATTTGTGTCTTCTACAACCCTAGGTAGGTCCGTGCTTAGAGCCAGTATGGGGTGTTAGTTCATAAACCTCTGGTTCTGTATCAAACTCCTTCCTTTCTGTTAGCATCCCTGCCTGTGTCCTTGGACACTGGACCTGATCGTCTCTGAATTTACTGTACTTGACTGCTGTCCTCCCCAATTAGGGGGGAGCCAAGAACACCACTATCTAACATACCTGTGGTTTTAACATCTTCCGGCCTACGTTACCTGGTTAGCTCATGTATCACAATACAGACAGGGATCTAAAATAGTGACTGGAATATAAAAAGTGCTCAATAAATACTAAATGATAGACAAGATGAACTAAAATTAGTTATCCATTTAAAGAAGCATATGGAAAATATGAACATTGAGAAACATTCATATGTTGAGTCAGTTTAAGATTTCAGGATTTCACCATCCATCAATCACTTGATCCTGGCATTGGGTATTCTGTGGGCCTTTTACATTATGCAATCACATAATAGCTACAAGTGTTAGACATGTCTTTATAGATAAGGATGTCACATCTGCATAAAGAATGAGGATAATATTTGGTAATATTGGCTCCAGGGAAAGACTCACGTTCTCCCAAGAGTTTTCTACGTGTTACTACACCACGTGACATTCGCCAGCCTTCTGCTTTCTCGTTTTAGGTAAACTTGAGACTAAAGTGGTTAATACACCAGGAGATCCTAACTTGGCATCTTCCACATAATAATTTTATTCTGCTTCTTTCCTTTCTCCAGTTTCATTTCCTTCAGCCATAAATCACCGCTCAGCATCCACGTATTACTACGCTTCCCATCATTTCTCTAACCATTGTTTTCAGACACAAGATGAATCTATCCAAACCAAGGAGGATCGAGAAGCTGAAGACAGGCTGATCACATGAAACCAACGAAGCACTTCGAACTTACAAGCTTCCCGAAGTTTCTCTTTGTCATAGTGGAATCCTTCATAGTCTTGTAAACTGATTTTGTTCACCCGGATCCTCAGGCGGTCTGGGACAGATTGGGGACTGCAAAACAAGAACCGAGTAGTCAGACATAAAAGAGAGGGTAGAATTGAGAGCCACATGCACCTGGAAGGACTAAAGGCAAAACATCTCTTCATGCTTGGAAGAAAAAGTTCTCATTCACACCAGAAAACAGCCATTATCTGGAGAGTACATCTACAGAAACCTCAAGTTTCTGGAATTTAGGTGAGAACGTGGAATAATCAGAAAAAGCTTCTGGAAGCTCCTCCAATCCTATTTGCTTTTAACGTGTTAAAAAGTCTAGTAAGATCATGTGTTTAGTTCCATGATAAATTAGACACAGCTAATCTGAAATAGTGAGAAGCGGTGTAGACATATAAAAACTGCTGTGGACAGGTATGTCCATACCAGCCTCTTATGACAGTTTGACCCTCAGAAGAAACAAATAAACAAAAACTATAAAAAGCAGACCAAGAATTGAGAAAACACAGGGCTGAGCTCAAAATGGCTCCAACAGTCTAACGGCACCTCTCAGTCAAAGTTTATGACAATAAATGCTGTCGGCGGTGGGGATTCTGAGTGCCGCAAAATGAAGGAAAAAAATGAAAATATGTCTAAGGTACTTTCTCTAGAAAGGGAATGAGGTTGTAATTCATTTTAACAGAATTTGCGACACATGTTAAACGAAAGGGGGTAGGGCCAAGCTTTCTGAAGCATCCTGTTCCCCCACAGAATTTCTTTACCTGGATTCCATGGACTAAGTAATATTTTCAGGTTAGTTTAACCACTGGCATTAGTCGAGCGAAACAATGTAATTTTCGCCAGCACTCCTACGGATCAAAACATTTCTTCAATGGATTAATAGAGCACAATCCCCACTCATCCTTCACTGTTTCCCTATGCTTAGATTCCATTGGTTCAGATAATTTTAGCAAATAAAGGATTGCTTCCCCTGTCTTGTATTATGGGATAAAAGTCACCATTGACCCAAGGAGAAAGAATAGCATTACTCTTCATTTCAGTAAAGAAGGGAAGGAATGGAAAAGGGAAAGAAGGGGAAAAAGAGAAGAAAAAGAGGGAAGGAAGAAGAAAAAGGTAGATGGAAGGAGGGAGGAGGGCGTGATTAAATATTGCCTGGATACTGAGACCCCCCACCCCACCTCTCACACACACATGTATGGAATTTCACTGCAACTCTGGAAGAAGGAGGGGGAAGTAATTCAATCTCGTTCTATCGTCTAATGCTTCATCGTAGGGCAAAGTATAGTAGTAACTCCCTCCAGGTAGATTCCCACTCTCATACCTTAAAACAAAATATATATCCAGCTATGGACACATATGTGCATACTCATACATAGTCCTCTTCCTCCCCCCTCCCACACAAAGATATTTAGATAGATGTGCATACATTCTAAAGAGAGATGGTGGACAAACAAAAATGTCTGAGGTTCACTGGGCTAAAAACTAAGCCAATATGAAATGACAAGATTGATATTTGCGAGGGAAAGTTTTGAGAAGACACATCAATACATCGGTCCGTTCAAAGTGTCTCTGTTGGGTGTCCACTTTGTAACAGGCATTGCGCCGGACATGGAATCGGCTTTGATAAATAAAACTGACATAAGCAGTGATGGGAAATATGATTTGAAGACATATTTGTAAGCTAGAACATACCTTAAATATCATGCATACCATGTCATCTTTCATAGAGAGGAAAGCTGAGGTGCAGAAAGGTAAAGTGATTTTATGGTCACAGAGCTACTAAGTGGCAGAGCTGGGAGCAGAGTCTTGGACTCTTCATGCATAGGTTTCGTGCTTGTTCTATTATACGGGGCCAAGAATCCCATGGGTTTGATGGCAAAACCACAGAGCCTGAATTAACAAAGTCGAATGATCTCTATGTGGTGTTCAGACCCTTATCAATAAGCAGTGAGTGGAGGCATAGCTCGGTAAACTCTGGTGCACTGAAACAAGAGAACACTGGGCAAACAGTACAAATGAGTGTGCAGATCCGCCTTTGTTTGGAGGGAAGTTCGACTATAACGTTGTGAAGTGAAAAAAAAAGTTAGAGAAAATTATGTCTGGAATAATCTCCTTCATGTAAACTGTGGAACCTCGGCATCTGTAAAGGTACACAAGCGTCTGGAGAAAATGTTCAGTAAGCTATCCCAAGCAGTTACCTCTACACGATGGGATTTAGGGATTATTTCACACTGAGAATCATCCTTTTTAGGAAAATATTTTAAAAGTATGTCAATATGTAAATAAATGGTAACTCAGAGCCAGAGTAAAAATAAGAGTTACAGCAAAGGGTGTTAGGTATTAGACATAAATAGATAGGAAAGGACAGGAAAGAACTTAAGCAATTGACAGAGTGACCATACAGTGTATCAAATGCTTATCCCCAATTTAAGAGGGGTCCGATCTTTTTATTTTCAAGTTCACCCCAGTGACCTGCAAAGACTGTACTTAGCAAACGTTTCCCCACAAGTACATCAGGTTAAGAGGGAAGCTGGAAGCACAGAATGTAGTGGCCCACCATACCCTCCGGGGGGGGTGGGGGAGGATGCAGGTTGAAAGACGTCTACTTCCATACATTTCAAGATTACAGTAGGTCTAATGACAGTGAAGTCTAGTCTTCTCCAATGGGCTGGAGATGTCAGGACTAAGACCTGGCTCCAGCAGTAGCTGTCGCGTGGACAATGGGGTTGAAGGAATGACTAGAGACCAGTCGCTATACGGCCTTGTCCCAGGGGCTCCCCACTAGCTAACCAGTGTTTACCACCTTTCTCACAGTCCACCAGGGCCCGCCCCCTGTCCACAGGCTTCCACCTCCCAGCTTTGTGTCGGCGCCCACCCATTCCAGCCACACACTGCTGCCTCCTGAACCACGGCCTCCACCGACCTTCCTTACGGGTGGCCCACCATGCACGTGCAACATGAACTGTCATTTGAATGGAACTTTCCAGAATCCAAATGAATTCACATATTATCTCACTTCATCTCCAGAGTGATCAGCCAGGCAGAAGAAAACTCACCGCTTATCACTCTCCCCCATCCCACCTTCTTACACACCCCCTCTCTCTTTCGGGCCGCTCCCGTCTGTTCCTGAGGACTTACAATGCATCCCATGTTCCCACCAGCAGCAGCTTGCTTAAACCCACTCTTCTGACTAGGGGACCTGGGGCTTGGCTTGCTATCCAGTGTTGAGGCCCACCAGCAAATTTTAGAGCAACCACGGGGTCCATGATGGAAATCTGCTTGGAGTAATTTTGGATCCTGGCGTGAAGGGTAGGCAGCTCAGCCAAGTCTAAGAGATCAGACTCTGAGTCAGATTGCCCGGATGGGAGGTAAAGCTCCTCCAATTATTGGTTAACCAGGTAACCTTGTGCTCTGGCTCCCTCGTAGGTGAGGCAGAGATGACGAGAGGATCCACCTCAGAGACCTACTACGAGGATTAAATGGATCAGTACGGGTAACGTGCTGAGAAAAAAGTCTGGCACATTGAAAGTGCTCAGGATACCAGCTATCACCGGCATAATTATTATTCTGAAAACCGCTCCCCTACATAAGGTTCTGCTAATAAACAATAGAATCAGCTGCTGCCGGGTCATGCAAGAAGGTCAGGGCATATGCAGGAGCCTCCCTAGGCACCTGTGCAAGCTGCTGGGGAAACTGTCTAGCCTCAATAATGTCCTCATTCTCCTGGATCTCCTCCCACAGGTATTTTACAGGCCAACCAATAAGATGAAAACAGACGAGAACAGGGGAAAGAGAAAATACACAGATGTTAAATGAAAGCCAAGTAATTCAATTGTGTCCCTTTATGTCAAAATATATTAATGTCCCATTAATGGCTGAGTGGAGGTGGACGATGACAAAGCTGTTCCTTAGAGTCTGGGGAATAGCAGTGCCATTAGTTTTCTAAAATCCAATTTTTCCAAGAAAGTTAGTGGAGCAGAGAAGAGATAAGCGTCCTGGTTAAACTGAATTTGCCTGCACGCCAACATCTACCACAAACTCTTCTTATGCAGAATTCGGCTCTGTATGGGGGGTTCTAAACCAGACTTCCAAGGAGTCACTGAAGGTTCCTAAAAGGGACTCAGCAATATTTGAATTCTCTCCACAACCCGGACAGTGGCCTCAACCTATCATCTTCTCACAAATTTCCTGTGAAACGTCCAGATTGAGTTTTTTGTGCACGTCAGAAGTGCATGGCTCTGAATGTAACTCCCAAAAGTCTCCCTGACAACTTCCTTCAAGAACTACAACGAAAGCAATAAATTCACTCACTTGGGCTCCAGACCACACCTTCTCATACTCACATTGCACACACCTGTTTCACTGAGATGCTGGGGGCTGGGGGGAGTTGGCAGTGCGATCGAGACAACTCCCAGAATGCTCACTTCTATTCAACTTACACCCAGTTCTCATTCCTCTCTCTTCAACCTTCACGCTTTCAGTTTCTTTACCAGACGTTTCTTTTAGTCTGATAACAGACTCCCCTCATTCCAATCTTCTCACATGGATACCGTTTACGGACAAAGAGAATGAGTTGGGTGCTTTTGTTCCCCAGGGTCACTTCCAGACCAGCAACACCACATAACCAGACCAGACCAGCAACACCACTCATTGGTAACATGGATAATACGGGAATCATATCCTTTAATATTAAGACACTATAGCCAGTGTGCAAAGCAAGATGTAAACTCAGAAATATCTCAGTTCCAATCTGAACTCTGTCAATTAATACATGTTTGACATTGAGAACTGTGAAGTTACCTTGGCCAAACCATTTTCTGATCTGAAAATGGAACTGATAATACGAATACAGTGAACAGTGAATGAGAAAATACATGTAAGGCAGTTAGCACATCCCTAGTAAAGAACAAGTGTTGAATATATTGTTGTTGTATTTTTTAATACCCTGAGGCTTCAACTTCTACAAGCCTTTTTTTTTTTTTTTAATTTAATCCTAGATAGGGGTGCCTGGGTAGCTCAGTCGGTTAAGAATCCGACTTTGGCTCAGGTCATGATCTCGT